AGTCAAAAAGTTTGCCCACCCCTGATCTAAGTGGTTAGAATGCAGTATTGCAGGATAACTCTGCCCACTGCCAGGAGTTCAATCCTGACCAGCTCAAGGCTAACTCGGCCTTCCATCCTTCCGAAGGTGGTAAAATGAGCACCCAGGGGGGCAATATGCTGAGTCTGTAAACTGCTTAGAGAGAGCTATAAAGCACTATGAAGTGTATATAAGTCTAAGTGATATTGTTATTGCTAAGTGCTTAACAATAACATATGAATGGCATCCCAACTTCCAAAGCCAGCAGAGAAATCTGGGAAGGTTTGCTTCCCATTTGTTCCATTTTTTACAACAGTTAAGGCATTATCTTAGGTACAGACTTCAGAAGCATTTGGATCTTTGGGAATAAAAGCTAGTGTTTTAGGAAACAATATTTTTAATCCTTCTTCCTCATGGTCAGTTGGTTGCATTACCTTCATTTAGCCTTATGGCAACTCATCCTACCTGAATGTATGAATATACATTTCTGTAATTTGCTACGTTGGGCATAATTCATGGAGATAATGAGAGTTAATTGGAAGAACACCTGGAAAGCTACATCTCCCTTCTCATCCCCTCCACTCCATGGGTTTAAGTGGGCTTTATAAACTTTTTCTTTAATAAATCATGATGTAAGATATTTATTTATTCATTTTTGGGAGTTTATTATGAAGAACTTGCCCATTTCTGTTTTAGGAAACAGAGTTTAATTAAGTGAATTAATTTATATAACGAAAGATGGAAAGGAAATATTTGGAATTTCAAGAATCTCCTTTATTGTTCATTCTCTCACACACACACATGAACACACACATACACATACACACACCTTCTCTGTGGAGGGAAAGAAAAATGAAATGACACTTTTGCTCATTTCACTAAGAATATATTATAGCCATAGCTCAGCAGGATCTGCACAATTTTAGCTATAATTCATGAGTAAGACAAGATGGTTTATTCACTCTAAGATAATTGAATAAAAATTATTGGTATAATATTATGCATTTTATACTTGGCAAATTCTGAGTGACATAATTGAAGACTTTGGTGCATGATATATGGATACGTGCTGTGACTATGAATGTGGCTGTCACCATGGCTGGGAACATATACTTCTTTATATCAAGTATAAATTAAAAATAGGGAAAAATAGTCAAGTAAATAGCCGGTGAGACAATCAAATTACCCCAGAAATATTATGTCAGCAGAAGTCCCGTCTTTGAAAAGAACAGGGCAGAAGGAAAAGGAATTAAAATTAAAAATTCATGAATGATCTAATGTCCTATTGGGAATGATACTGGATACTTCCAGAAAATGATTAGAAACAGATTCCAGACACATTAAGGCAAAATGTTTTTACATCTCTATCTATTGGATCCGTCTATTCTTCAGGACACAGCTAGGAATAATGGTCACACATCCAATTTGGTGTTCTTGAAGGAGTGGTATCTTTGTGATCTGGAATTAGTAATCCTTTCTTTGTTCCCTCTGTCATTGTCAGATCACAGTTTGGTAGCTATGATCTTCTCCTGAGCAAGGAGGTTATGAGATCAGCTGCTTAGTCCTGTCAAGTCCCTAGTCGCCATCTGGAATAGGGAAGTGAGTGAGGTTTAGACAAGATTGTGCCCAAGTGGTCTCTCCTGTTCTCCACGATATATGGAAGAATGAAGAGAGATTAAATGGATTAAGAGATATCTAGAGTGCCACTAGTGGAAGACAAAGAATGAACTCAACTAAACAGGTAAGCGCTGCAATCAAAGAAACACTTGCCTCCTCTTAAATTCATTTACTCCAACACCACTGGCTAAAGCTTAAAACCATCAAAAGGTTTGGTCCAATGTGCAGATGGCAGAGTTCATTTGCCGAGAACCCTGCTACTACTGCACAGTCTACAAACTCCAAGGAATCCCAGATTACATCATAAAATATCATCTCAGCTAGTTCATTGTATCATCGTTACTTAACTCTGAGGGATTTTTTCTACAAATGTTTTGCAAATCAGCCACAGTGGCCTACTGGAAAATCTTCTCTCATGCCCAGATCAAACAGAATGCAGGTCACCTTAAACATTGCCACGGATAAATCTTCAGACACAATAAATCTGTCCTGGTGTTACACCATTCTTATTGCGCTGTATCTGTGTTAATCGTATTTTTCTTTATTTTGTGCCTTCAGCACTCTGGGTGCCTTTTCAGCTGCTTCATTCCCAGAGCTCCTCAGTGCACTAAGGATCAACAATTAAAGAGGGGCTACTGAGAAACAATCATATCCTCATAGTTGGAGTTCTGACTGGGCACATGGCAGAACTGCCTAAACTTTGGCAGTATGTAATCAAAAGTATTTCTCACAAAACTGATACTAGGATTTCCCCATAGCCACTCTTAACGTAACATACAGTAACTGGGACTTTGAAGTCCATGTTATGTGTAGATAGGCTCTTATCTGCCCTGGGTTCACCACTAATCAGATATAATAAGAGACTTTCTTACTTCTGCATAATCAGCTACTAATAGAAGCTCCACATATTTCATTGATTGTTGATCATCCCTCTTCACCTATGGCAGAAACACACACAAAAAATATACGCTTGGGGTTTGTTTTGATCAAACAATAAACTTCTGTACATATGTTCATTTAAAAAAAAATAATGACCAGTCATACATTAGAGGAGCAACTGTTCATAATAAGCATTAATGGTTTCTCTCAAGCAAACTACATTTTAAGCTATATATAGGAATTGCTCTTTTATAGATGATTCATCATGTGTACCCTTCATTTCAATCCTACTCTGTTATCTGCCACATATACAGACATATAATTACAAATTACTTGCTTTCTTATTTTATTATCAATACATTAAGCCTCAGCCCAGAATACTCACTGAACTATTCTCCTATAAATATTAGTTCCTATTACTTTATCACAAGATTTAAATTATGATTTATTTAAGTCACTAAGTATACAAACACTAGAAAATATTTCTAGCCTTCTGAACTGACTGAATTCTACTTTAGAAAAAACATTGGGCTTGTTTATTTATTTTTTTCTTTATTTAAGAATATATACCTTCTTAAATAAATAAACAATGCCAGAATGATTACCTCATCTCCCACAGACATTATTGGGACTTTCAGGATAGAAAATGGCAACTTATGAAGCAATGAAAATATTTAAGGACATCGGAAATGAATTGGTTCTTCTCTGCTCAATTGTTTGCCAACAAAGAGATGAAATAGTTTTTTTTGGGGGGGGGGGGTCGGTGGCTGCTGCCACCGACACCCCCCCCAAAAAAAGTGTGTGAAGGAAAAGTGTGTGAAGGTTGCAAAAGTGCGGGCAAGTGATTTAAGGCCTGCAGCTGGTTGATACCAGGTGGAAGAGGATGTATGAGTTGTTGCAGTAGCAGTGGTTGCAGTGGTGTGCATGAATGTGTCAGAAGTCCTTACCACACCCCTGGCTCCAACAAGAAACAACGCTGAGTTGAGTTGAGTTCACAGGTGGCTTTAATCACGGAACGTTCTGGCATGCACAACAGCAAACAAAGTTAGCGCTGGGAGCAATTGCCTCCCAGCACCTTACATATGCATTTCCCACCTGGCCCCACCCCCCACCCTCCTAACCAGCATCCGGTGTGCGAAGTGATATGAGCAGCGAGGCAGGACGCCCTGCAGGCTTCCGGCTTCACGTAGCTTCCGTGCTCTGCTCAGCTGTTCTTTGGGACACGCTACTGGCTTCTGGCTGCCTGGTACGTCCCTGCACCAATCAGCTGCTTGTCGGGACACGCGGCAGGCTTCTGGCTTCCTGGTGCCTCCCAGTGCTGAACAGCTGGTCGGCGGGCCGACCATGGAGCCAACAGGCTGTTCGGCAGTGTAACCACAGAAATGAGCATGCCACCATGCTCAACCAGTCCAGGTCCAGGTAATGAGGGAAGGGCTGTTGCCTTTGGGTTGGTCGCTGGCCTCCTCCCGGCGCTGTCCTTGTCCCCTCCCCCCCCTCCTGTCAGTGTCGAGCCCATGGGGCTTGACAGGCGGCCCCCTCTACCAGGGCTCCACCTGGAAGGCAAGGAGAAACGTGTGATTAATCACGGGCCATGGCAGATGATGCAGCTAACCTTAGCTTTCGGGGATACCGTCAGTGGAAGAGCCACAACAATCAGGGGGCTTGGATGTCCGCTTCCCTCACCCAGGACGCCTCCATAACAGGGTACCCCTTCCATCGTACCAGGTATTGCAAACAACCCCATCGGATACGGGAGTCTAACACCTCTTGGATCTCATAATGGTCCCCTGTGACAGCGCCCGATATCCATTTCAAGGACCTAAAAGGAGGACCCCTCCACCGGCTTCAGTAAGCTGCAATGGAAAGCCGGGTGCACCTTTCCCAGAAGCCGAGGTAGTTGTAGCTGCACAGCGACTGGGTTAATGACCTGCACAATCCAGAATGGACCAATGAATTTCGGCCGTAGCTTTTTGCAGGGTATCTTCAGGCACAGATACTTGGTTGACAGATACACCATATCCCCCACCCGAAAGGGCTTTTGAGGCGCCCTTTTATTATCAGCTTGTGCCTTTGAGGCCTTCTCTGCTTTTAGTAAGGCTTTTTTCATGGTCTCCCAGACCCCCCGTATGTGACTTATCCAGTCGTGGGGTTGACAGGGGGAGGGGTCCTCCTGCAGGCACTTGGGAATCGGGATAAACTCCACCCCATGTACCACCTGGAAAGGGGTGAATCCGGTGCTGCTGTGGACCACATTATTATATGCTACTTCATTGAACAGTAACAGGTCAACCCAGTCCATCTGTTGGTAGGAGACGTAGCACCGCAGCTACCATTCCACCATCGCATTGGCCCGTTTGGTCACCCCGTTGGTACTGGCATGAAAAGCTGAACTGAGTCCTTTGGATGATCCGATGGAGCGGACAAACTCATGCCAGAAGCAGGCAGTGAACACATAGCTTCCCTGCTCTGCTCAGCTGTTCTTCGGGACGCGCTACAGGTTTCTGGCTGCCTGGTACGTTCCTGCGCCGATCAGCTGCTCGTCGGGACCCACGGCAGGCTTCTGGCTTCTTGGTGCCTCCCAGCGCCTCCCAGCTGGTTGGCGGGCCGGCCGTGGAGCTGACCGGCTGTTCGGCAGTTTAACCGTGGAGACGACGACCACGCCACCATGCTCAGCCAGTCCAGGTAATGAGCGAAGGGCTGTTGCTGTTGGGTTGGTCACTGGCCTCCTCCTTGTGCTGTCCTTGTACCCCTCCCCCTCCCATCAGTGTCGAGCCCATGGGGCTGGACAGAATTATTTTGAGTCCCGGAGAGTGGGGGGGGGGGAATAGATTTACTTGAAAGACTTGTAACCTTCCCTGCCAGCTTCCCCTTTGATTTTGCTTATGGGAGGCTGGCCAGGAAGGTCACAATTGGTAATCACATGACTGATTACTAGCTCAGCACTGTTGCAACTTCAAATGGTCACTTAACGGGTGGTCAATAAGCAAGGACTACCTGTATTTTTCAGCTTCAGCTTTCTATCCATTAGCATTGGGATAATAAACTAGCCTATATTTTCTAACTGCTGGTGATTGAATGATTGTTGGAATAGCCCACGTAGAGCAATTTGAAAGCTGGACAAAAGCACCATCTTATTTTTCCTCCTTCCCTCCCACTCCCCCCCTCACTCTGATGTTGCTACACCCTGTAAGAGAGGAGGCAAAACTCAGACATACCCTGTGGTGACGTGTTTCAGTTCGGCCTGACAACTCTGCAAGCCAATCTGTCACCTTTGATTCCAAATGCTCATTTCCACAACTTCCATGAGGAACTTTGAGATGCTCAGACCTGTAGATTAAGTGCTGCTCCTGACTATCAGGAAGAGGTTCTAAGACGTAACTAATGTTGTTGCTTATAAGTATAAGGCCACTGAAAAACAATTCAACAAACCATCAGAAGGCAGGAAAGTCAAATCAGCTAAAACAAAGAAAAAGAACAACAGCAGAATTTAGTAAGATGTAGTTCAGACTTGGTATTTACACGAGTGACATTTAGTAATGTTGGAAAGTTGCTAAGCCCATTTTATTCTTGATTTTCAAAGCTAACCAGGACTTTTAATAAAGTCCTGGATTTTAAATCTTGAATTCAACAAAGAAAAGACATGGTTATTTCTAAGACCCCAAAAGACCATTCCACTTTATTAAATGGCTATAAGGAGACTAATATTAAATATATTACAATAAAACAAAGTGAACAAAAGAATCTTAAAGTAAAATTAGTAATGGAAGTAGAAGGCTTCATGATAAAAATTGAAAGGCCTTTAAAATACAGAGGTCTAAGCAACCTAACCAGTCTGTGTATATTTACTGCTATTATTAGTTGTTCTTTTAAAATTGAGTTTTAATTTTATGTCAAAGTCACTGCTATGAGATGGCAGCCATATAAATTGATTGAAACAAAGGAATAAAAAAATTAATTAATTAATTAATTAATTAATAGTGTCTCTTTTTTTCAAGTTCAACAGTCTTTTCTGGAAGGAAGACTTTCTAAGTCACTGAAGACTATTGCAAACTATTATGGAGCTCAGTCTCTGAAAAACCAAATTCTCTCTTTAGTCAGATGTTTTTCTGCCTGTAAATAGTCTTTTAATAATATTGCTTTTTTAAAAAATATGGAATATTTTTAATGTTATTCGTTTATAGTTATTTATGTTACATCACATAGTCGTGTCTGTAAGGTGAGTAGCTATGGGAATAGATAAATAAATAAAAAAAATAAGAGTGTGCTCAACAGCTAATAACACTATTGTCTGGCATGTTTTCATATATGTGGAATGAGTTTTAGTCAATATTTTCACAACCTACTTGTGGTTTCTACAGAAAACCTAATATCATTAAGTTTCAGGTAAATGCTTACATATAGAACTGCTTTATTTAAATATTAAGCTATATTTGTTATAAATGTTATAATTCTGAATTAATTACTGAGTTCCAAATGGGGTTTTAATGAAAACCAATTTACAAAGCAATAAATAATTGTGGTCAGTCTCTTTCCTGGTTGTGCTTTATTTTTCCACAAGAGCTAAAAATATATGCAAGAGTTTAGCTTCAGTTTTTTACCAGGAATCCCAAATTATTTTGATATTAGAATAATGTAAAGAATGGCCAGTATATGGAACAGTTGTACAGTCAATCAAAAAATTAACAACAATGAACTACAATTTTGATTGGAAATTTTGAAGCCAGAGCCAAAACACCTGAAAAAGGAGGGATGCATCAAAGTGACTCACTTGGCACCTGTGATGCTTTCTATTTTGTGCAGGCCTTGTGTATCAGCCATAAAAGGCAGACTTTATTTTGTTTATAAACCCAGACAATTTGTTTACATTAAGTTTGGCCTGAGGCTATTGAGGATTTGAAAAAAATGGCCAAAGCTATTTCCTAACTGGACAGAAGCCCAGCTTTTAATAGGCTCTGAAGTGACCAAAAGGAAACCAAGTCCTGTTTATAAAAACAATGTGTTTAATTGCTTAAGTGCACTGTAGAATGAGCATATGTTAATCAACAGCAAAGGCTCATTGCTATCCAAGGATTTTACAAAATCCCATTACTAAGTGAGAACTTCATACTATAGTAAGGATCAGATGTTTGCAAGATTGCTACAAATATTAAGACCAAAATAAAATTCAGAAAACTGTTCTGAGATAAATATATCAGGCTAAAGAAGCAGAAAGGCAAGAATGAATGAAAATGGAAAGATCCTGGCATTTGTGAGAACTGGGGATTATTTGTACTGTTTTTGAAGAGACCTGCTTCGTATACAGAAATTCCAGATTTCATCCCTGGTATCTCCAGGGATACTTGGAAAAAGAACCCACTTACCCCAAATTTTTCAGACCTGCTATCAGTTAAGGTGGATAATACTGGGCTAGGCAGTCAATTATCTTATTCCAAATAAGCCAAACAGGAAGACTCTGTGGATCCCCAGAAAATGGAATCCTGGGGTACAAATTCATATTTGTTTTTACAGCAAGGATAACTAACTTCCAACTTGTGAGTTATGTGAAGCTACTCTCTAGCTTCTTTTTTTTATGACCCCTGAAGCCTCTTAAAATTAGTCTATAAAAAGTTGGTGCAAAACTCTGAAGAAGTATTTTTTTTACAGAAGTAGTAAAATAGGTGTAGCAGGATACTTCTTTTAAAAAAAGTCAAGTTTCTTAAAACAAATGAGTGTATCAGTATTCCCCCCAGTGTGATCATCTCAGTGTAGTCCATAGTGTTGCTGTTGGTGATGATGGAGGAGGAGGAGAAGGAAAGGGAGCAGCAGCAGCAGTCCTATTGCCAAAAGCTGCCTCTCCCTATCTTGTGGTATTTGGAAAGAAGAGTAGAAATAAAGCTTACTGACTCCTTCTGAGATCATCCTCAGAAATATTGGTTTAACAGCAGCTTCATGCAGAGAAAAGCTCTCATTTGTCCATCATTATTTAGCTATTCATTTATCTCAGGGATCTTCAAACTTGGCCCTTTTATGACTTGTGGACTTCAACTCCCAGGCATGCTGGCTGAGGAATTCTGGGAGTTGAAGTCCACAAGTCATAAAAGGGCCAAGTTTGAAGACTCCTGATTTATCTAGTATTTTTTTTAAGTCCTTTGGTCATCACTCTATCTTTTAACCGCAAATTATGAGATTGGGCAAATGTTACTTTGTAGACAGAGAATGCATGAAAGAGCTGGAAACTTACCGTAGACCTCTGCATGTGCTGAGCACCACACTTGATTCACGAATGGCCCTCACTCTTCCATGGTAAAAGCAATTATCCTGAGAGGGTGAAAGGAAGTGCCAAGAGCAAATAATCTCATTCTGCAGATTCATTTATCTTTCCCCACTCCTTTGGTAGGGATCTACGTCAGTGTTACATGAAAAGGCATACAAGTGATCCTATTATGGCTTATTTAACCCTCTGGAGATATGAAGGCTTTTCAATCTCTCCCTCTATTCACCCCTAGTAAAATAAAACTTATAGCTGAATTGTCCATAATGGCTGGGTGTCCCAGGTTGGTCTAAACCAGGGGTAGGCAACCTTGGCTCTTTTATGACTCGTGGACTTCAACTCCCAGAATTCCTGAGTCAGCTATGCTGACTCAGGAATTCTGGGACTTGAAGTCCACGAGTCATAAAAGAGCCAAGGTTGTCTACCCCTGGTCTAAACCATAATACAGTTACTTTGGTTTTGTCTTAATCTTGTCTTGATAAACCCCAGCAATTGTAGTTATCCAATAAACAACATTTAAATCGAACATGGCTTAGCAAAAGGTTTGGACAATGCCAGAAATTATGTTATGGATGAGCTCAGACAGCACCAAGCACTCTTCATTTCAACTGATGATGCAAATATCCTGAACATGTTTACTGACTTCTGGGGTAGCTAGTATTTTACAATTTTCTTCTTATGAAAAACCACAACATATTGTGAAATGATAAAACTATACTACATAGAATTCCACTATGAAAACTAACAAACGGGGGGGGGGGGGGAATCCGCAATCCAACAGCCATTACAATTTTGCACAAGCAGCCTCTTTTAGAAAACTACAGTAAAGAGAAGAAGAAAGGTGTTATTATGAACACTTATTTGTAAACCTATCTGAAGTGCTGCTAGCCAGTCAACATTTTTCCAGTCAGTTAATTTAGAAGAGAGGTCTGGCTGGACAAGATCCAACTGGCCTTGAGAGGATAACAGGCTTTCAGATCCCACTTAGCAGAAGGCAGAAATTGAGAGGTCAGCTCCTGGACGATATCCAGGTAGAAACAACACACAAATTTAGAATCTGGGATTTTCACATCTGATGCTTTGCTATTGAGGCAAAAGAAAGGGGTTATAGCCAATCTTTTTAGTTTTATAACGTGAAGAGTCTTCTGCAGAAAAAAGCAAGGGATAGGATAGATGTAGGGCAAGGGCTAGACTAGAGCATAAACAGATAATACACAAGTAGAAAGTGCAAGTTGAGAGATCAAAACATGGCAATCAGAAAGAATGCACATTATAGCATGGCTTCATATTAGTTCAGCTGCATAGTTCTAGTGTTTGGGGATTTTTTTGCCACTATAGTTCAGGGGGCCTTCAGCATATCATTGCAAGACAGCACTGTACTAGAGACACCAATGTAGTTCATTGCCAGTTTTGTATGGAATTTCAAGGGCCACACCCAAATTGCAAGCTAATACTACATAGTAATGGATCACTGCAGTTGTAACAGCAGTGCTCTATGGTGCTCTTCATCATTGCACAATTACACTCAACATTTCAGTGAATTCTGTGAAACAATATCTGTTAAATTGCTAATGTGGGATGTAGTAGATTGCAAGAGTTTTGCTTTTTAAAATAAAATCACAGTTTGGAAAAGGAATAGAACTTATTTCTATTTTGGCTGTTTTAAGTATTCTGCCTCATCTGAATTGTATTTATTTATTGTTGAAGTTTTGATGTTATACTACTCCAAAATGACTCTGGACAGTGAAAAAAAAATACAGTGGCTTATTATATTTACTCACAGAAAGATTACTCGGTAAAGAAATGAACTGACTAGAGACTGCTGCAGTTATGAAAACTGTAGCAGCCACTATCACAAATCCCCATCAGATTCTTATTCAATCACTACTTCCATATTACATCATTACACTTAGCAATGAACTCATCTGGAAAAAAGCAAAAGACCAATGAATGTTTCTTTATTTACTTCCCCAGCTTTGAATCAGAGTATATTTGAAACTGCTCGCCTGATAATTTTTTTTCCAATTTTTTGTGCCTCCAAATCATTTTTTTCAGGGTGCAGTCAAGACTTGTTCTGTGTAAAGCCTATCAAAGCTGGAACCAGGGTTGTGTTCAAGTGGATTTGTCTCATCAAATTACATTTGATACTCACTGTTTTGTTCAAGGAGATGGTTTGGGCTGTTCCAGTTTTAGTATAATGAGTTTCAGTGTAGTCTGGTGCAAAGAGATCCCTACCAACAAAAATGAAGAAACAGAGAAGGATGGGGTGGAGGAAAAATAATATTAATATTATTTGAATATTCAATGAATATTCAATGAAATCTTGTAACTCTATGTCCTCAGTAACCAATTCTAACATTTAGCAAAAGTGATCAATGAGACTCATGAAAAAATTAGATTAAAGTTGTGACAATGATTAATAAATGTCAACATTATATGTCAAGAAAAATGGCAAGATGAAGTAAAAGCAATTTAGCAGGTGAAAAAATAGTCTTCTTAAAACTGTGCTGGACATCTGATTCCCTGTGGCCAATCTGACATTTCAACAATCTGCATAATGAAATATGAGATGGAAAGAAAAATGTCTTTCTCTCTCCACTCCTTTCGTATCATTCATAATTCTATAAACATATGATTGTTCATGTCATTAAACAGGCTTCAATAGGTTAGTGATTCTTTACCTCATGAATTCATAGAAAAGATTAGAGAAACTTAAGTATTTTGTACACTAAATGTGCTCTGGAAAAACTTCAGGTTTCCATGGATGAGTCATGGAAGCTTTTATCCTCTTGTTGTAAGACTCTTAAAAATCTAATTTTGCTTTTCCCTTGCTCTTTGTTAATAGAGGCCAGCTTATCATGTTGCATCTTCAGACTATGGTTAACCAAAACAGCCACAAACAAAACTGCAAAATAAGCTCAGTTATATATCCTGTACTACCAAGGGTCTGGACAGCATGCATCTTCAAAAATCAATCATTTTCTTTGCCAATTGTATTACCTGTCTGAAAAATGACATTAACAATTAGCAAAGAGTGGCCAGGAGAATGGCTGAGTCAAGATTGCTTTGTGGAGTAGTGGAACTAAATGCAGTTAAACTTTATTATTACATCTGAGTCTCACTGATCTACATTTGTTCAGGGTTCAGAACCTGCTTATCTACAGTATTACCCACATAGCTGCTTATTCAAGTGTATGCAAATTTGCTACATTTTCTATATATACCCATATATTTATACCCATAATTGGATCTTATTTGAGTATCTTTGCTCTCTTCCTACTTTCAGGTCTCAAACAAATGAGGACGGCTGAATTGCACCTCAACAGTGTGATGCTATTAAGGGCACTATATATACAATTAATACTGTTTATATATTCCTTATATTGTCTTTCTATCACTTCATTTCCCTTTATTGTTCTCTAGCCTATGATGCCATTCTTTAGACTATAAAAGAAACAGGAAATATTGGGATTATTTACAAGGAACAAACAAAACTGCACCAATTGATTTCTATCTACAAATTTAACATTAACAATAATCAAAACAGATTTTGGGGGTGATATCAAGATGACTAAAACTGTTCCCAGATGAGAGACAATTGCTTTAATATTGTTACCATTTTCCTTTTGCCTGGATATTTAATAAACTAAAATGTAATCTCAAAGAAAGAATTTTTAGTTTGTATGCCTTGCTTTCTGCAAATAAAGGATTTACCAAGGGCTCCTTAAATCCTAAAACTAGAATTTAGGATAACCAACATTTTAGACAGTAATACCATCTGTACAAGTTGAGTTTAGTCAATATCTCATCTCTGTCAGAAATGCCATGTACCTTACATAGGAGTACACTTTTATCAGGTCTATATGAAACTCCAAAATAAAACATTATGTACAATATTTTAAAATATGAAAAGGGTAAAGTTTAAGGCTTAGCTCTAGCCTCTTCTTGTCTTACTATTGTCAATTTAACAACTAAAAAAGCTGACCTTTTTTTCCTCTAAAGTTACTTTTGAGAAAGAATTTAGGAGAACACATTTCCACTTCTATAGTACTATCCTTTTATCAATTATAGAATAAATATAATAAGTAAAAACTAATAAAATCTGGAGGGGGAGTAATAACTGTCCCAAATCCTATAGTAGAAAGATGATCCATTCAACATTTGGTTCCCTAGTAAAATTATCAGAAGACACTATTAGTAACTAATATACCTCTATAATCCTAAAAATAATTCCAAAATTTTTGTTATACAATACAGATCTGCTTACTGAATGTCAGAATTCTGTAGAAAAATCTAGTGAAGAAAGAAGCTGCATAGACCCTGGTTGCAATATGAAAAAAGGCAAGAGACTCAAATATTATTTCTGGATTAAGGGGATCCTCCACCTTCCACGTCACCCTAACTACTCTGTTGCTGAGCCACTGCCACCCTACTTTCTGCCCATCATCTTTGTATTTCTCAAGTGTCCTGGTTACTTTACTGTCCTTCCTCTCCAGCCTCCCCCTCTAATTACTTGGGGTCATCAGGAAGCTGTTACTTTAATGATAGAAAGGGATTACTGCTTAGCGCTCTATCTCCATCCATGACCATCATTATCATTACCTCTGAGCTCATTTGGCTCACAGCCTGCAGACAATCTGAACACATAAAAAATGGATGGACCTTGAAAAAAAGCATTTTGCTGCACCTCATGTTCATTTAATTACTAAACATATACTTTAAAAGGTGTCTGTTTCCTGTCCCATTACTGACTTCTCATTGACAATTGGAAGCCATCCAGGGTCATTATGAGTTGGGCAGTAGATGCCCATCAAGATGCAGAATCTGAGATATACAAACCAATGTTTAGTGCTAACAAAGAAAATGTATATGTGTGAATGTACCTTTAAATCAGTCTACCAATTAAATGGACAAGTCCAAGTTTTCTTAGCAATATTTTTGATAGCAGTTTACTACTACCTTCTTCCTAAGGCTGAGAGAGAGAGAGATGGCCTACATTCACCTAACTTCCAAACCTAAGGCAGAACTAGAATGTACACTATTCCAATTTCTAATCCACTACACAAAACACCTTTATGAATTACACTAAGCTGATTCTCTAGCTTAGTGTAGCCTTAATGTAAGGCTTATGTTAGTTTTTTCTCAACCTGGTGCTATGGATGCAATACTAACAACTCTTAGCTAGCGTGGAAATAAATGAGCAATGCAAACCTATAGATATCTACTAACTTCATTGGGACTGAGCATACTTAGTAACTTTAAACTTTGATTTTCAACAATGACTCTTGACTATGGATATAAAAAAGTCCACTAAAAACCTCAACGGAACCATTTTTGGTCGTTTCGCTATTCATTGATAATCATGAAATGACAACAGATGAATGAGTATTCCAAAAGTGAGAGCTGAGAACTGAAGGAGCTTCTTGAATGAGAAGCAAAACATCTTCAAAGAAAAAACAAGAAAGTCCAGTTGCCTCCTGAAAAAGCACATTTGGGACAACCATGATCTGGGTGACTGAGAATCTCCACAGATAGATGAATGACTAATTATTTCACTATGACGATGGCTACTGTGGTCTTTTTTCCCTGAAGATAATGATAAAATCTGATGTACCTATTTATTCAAAGTCATCCATTTCCTTGTTATCTTACCACAAAAATGTATGTAATGGCAAACCTTATGAATCTGTGGCTAATAAGTTTGGAGGAACTAAGATCAATGTGGTCTATGTGTGATGGTTTACACTATTTTCCTGAAACAAAATGAACCACTTCCTTTTTTTTTCTCTTAAGTGAGTATGTTTGATCTTTGATGTTGCACTATTGGAAGGTCTGAAAAACCAGGTTAGGGACAAACTATTATCCATCTAATGACTTGATGGCACTTAATCATTCAACTGATTTAATGTATTTAACAGCCCCCCCCCCCATCTTCAGATATTTTGCTGCTTTTATTTATTGCCTATGTGTCCTGCCTTTTCTTTGAGAGAACAAGATAATGTACATGGCGGGCTTCCCTGCATGTAACTGCCACAACAAAGGACACAAAACCACAACTTTTTTGCAAAACGATGAAATAGTATTTGAAAGAAGTGGGTCGCTGTACTAATTACTCTAATACCCATGTCTCTAACCACTGAGATAAAGACTTGCTTATTGTCCCAAGAATTATGTGTTATATTTAAAAACAGTGAACAATGTCCAACATGCTCTTCCCCAAATATTCAGGAGCAGATTTCTCAAACTGGGGCCAAAATTTGTGAAAATTGCAATTGTATTATATCTTTTTCCTACACCTGTAAAAGATCTGTGAAGAATATTAAGAGGGGCTAGACTTAACCTCAGGATGAAGTCTTTTTCAGAGGTTAGATACTGTATTCTTTACATTGAAAAAAAACAGAATCTTAGAAACAGGAGAGAGAAAAAAAGCTAAAAAATCACTTTGTTCTTCAGATGGCTAGAGTTACAGAGATTCCCAATTTTGATAGGAGAATCTGATAGGTGTTTCACGGCCAATCAATGCTTTAAAGTATAAATTAACAGAGCATATGAAAAAACATATTTTTTTGCTATAATCAATCTTTCCTTTTTAACCTAATGTCTATGGAGATTCTCAGTCATCCAGGTCATGATTGTCCTCAAGTTGCTTTTTTGGGAGGCAACTGGACTTCCTTGTTTTTCTCTGAAGACATTTCACTTCTCATCCAAGAAGCTTCTTCAGCTCTGACTGAGTGGTGGGGAATGGAAGGATTTATACTCCTTGCAGAAAGCTGGTCATTTGCATTCTTTTAGAGAGTCCTTGAGGCCATTTGGAGGTTATCTGTGTCCTCAAGGTCACTGGTTTCCTTTTGTAAATCTGATCAGTCAATACAGGTAGTCCCCAGCTTAGAATCACAATTGGGACCAGAATATTGGTTGCTAAGAAATTGGATTTTACAATTCATTTTTGCCATGGTGGTTAAGCAAATCACTGCAGTTGTTAAGTGAAGAATGGAGTCATTAAGAGCATCTAGTTTCCCTCATTGATTTGGCTTATCAGAAGCTAGTTGGGAAGGTTGCAAAGGAGATCACATGGATGCTGTAACTGTAGCAAATACATGCTGGTTTCCAAGCACCTGAATTTTCATCATGTGACTATGGGGTTCCTGCGATGTATGTATGTGTGAGGACCAGGTGTAAGTCACTTTTTCAGTGCCGTCAAATGGTCACTAAACAAATGGCTGTAAGTCAAGGACTACCTGCAATATTTATTTAAAACTGCTGTTAGTACAGCGACCTAACCAGGTTGCTAATTTCAGTATTTTGCTTTTAACTTTGGTCACACTGATTGGAAAAGGAAACTGTTCAAAGTGATAAAGATAAATTTTATATTTTTTTTTTGAAGTGCTGCAATCATAGAAAATAGCAATGGCTGACTTTATCTCTAGCTGCTGCAGCTGCTTTGTTTACCTGGACATGCATCTGAAAAAAACATATGGAGAAAATAAAACGCCAGGTAAAAGAACAAATGGAGGGTAAAATAACTGTGAATTATATAAAGTTTGGGCTCAGACCTGTTTATTCTCAAGTAAGCTCAATAAATTCAGTAGGACTTAACTTCCAAGTTTGCATGTTTAGGATTATTAGGATCAAAAGTTTGCATTCTTTTTTCATTGAAAGAAATCACTGTGTGGTGAATACAGCTTGACTGTGGCCTGCAGACTTAGCATCTTTTCTGCTAAAATACAGATGTTGGCTGAAAGCAGACAGCTGTTGCCACTTTTCATTACAGTAGAAATCTCAGGAGCAGAGCCCGATCCAGAGAATGAGCAAGAACCTGGCCTGTAGCCACAACATACAGATGTTTTAACGGCTGTATTTCCCTTCCAGCCCTATTCAGCACATTTTTGGCTATGCTCCACTGTGTCAATGATACCATTGTTCTGAGCAAAGTCTCCATCTTCAGAGTAGGGGATGCAGCAATGAAGGCGCCTGCAGTGAAGGGGGTTTCTATTTTGTGGCCATTAACACAATGTGAAGAGAAGGGATGCAAATAGTTTATGAATGAGGCAGATGGAAATTTTGGGTAGAAAATGCCAGTATGCCAGTATAGAGATACACAGTTTCTTTGTTGCAAAACCGTTCTACTCAGTTCATCATCTCTTACACAACGGAAAACCCCATCAGAATGGATAAACATACCTAAGACCAATTTTCTAACCACTGGAGTTTGATCCTGATGGGCTCAAGGTTGACTCAGCTTTCCATACTTCCAAGGCTATTCTTCTAGGTCTCAGGATAGGGTGGATTAACTCTTTTTACCTGAATAATTTTCAACTATGGTTTCAGTGTTATTCATATCTTAATTGAGATTAATCTGGGAATAGTACATGTGATTGCACCACTCAATGAAAACTCAGGAACAATACTGATTTGCAAAGATCATAATCTTCATTGTCTACATACTAACGTCCAGCATACAGGAAATAAACAAGATGAGTTTGTTTACATGCTGTAGATATATTTTGGCAGAATCATCTTCTACCATTCCCAATCCTACACTCTGATTCCAATACAAAATCAAAGAATCTTCCCCACATTTAACAGAAGAAAGTGGGGGGTCTGAGAAACACCATATTGTTGGAAGAGTAGCCAGTTCAGAGTATCTGAACTGAGTAACCATATATCCAGAGTAAATTATAGCTCCAAAACAAGTCATGAAGCATAATTCAATTTAACGATTATAAATTGTGGCCAGTGAAGACCAGAAGCTTCTGGAATAAAAACTGTTGCCTGAAGTAATTCAAGCACTAAAACAATGATTGTATCAATCTGACATTAAAACTGTGAAA